AAGGCCCTTTGTGCAGTTGCAACAATAAAGTGGTTTTGACTCCCATGATCATGGGGCAAGAGACATCACGTTAATTTTTAAGCAAAGGATCTGACGCTCCAGGGCAGTGCCCTGCACTGAGGGCCTGTCCTAATACCCCTCCCAAGGCACAGTTCCCAGATACGCACCTGGGAAATGTCTGTTCTTTTGTGCAGGAACCTTGCATGAACAGTGATTTCAAAAAAGGCAGCGAGAGAGAGAGAGAGTTTTTCATATAAAAAGCTGCCACATTTTATTGCTAAAACTGCACTTTACACCAGATGCCTAATAAACAGGAGTGAGACCCAATTCAGTCCACACAGAAAGGACCCTTAGAACAGAACAAAGAAAGGGAATAGAATCAAACACTCAGCGCTAGTGCAGCTGCCCCACTGCAGGAAGACACATTAGGTGCAGACAATACTTTTGCTGTAGCTACAGACAGGTCCTTCTCCCGCCAGAGATTGTTCTAACAAAGAGGGTGTGAGAGCTGGTTTTCTTCCCATGTTCAGCCAGTGAAGGAGGCAGGGGAAGGCCTCTCCTGGAGATGTGTTGGCCCTCCCCTCTTTGAGATTTCAGCTACACATGGTTAGCAGCACCTTGTCACCACCATCCTCAGCAACATCACCACAGGGCTACCCCAGTCTCTTGCAGGCTGACGGTCTCACCATAGCACCAGCCAATGTCCACACAACCAGGCAAGTAGCTTGTAAAGGTTTTGAACAGCAGCCCATACCAAAGGAGCTTGGAGTTTCCAGAACTGCAATGACCCTGGTTTGGGGCTGACTGTCCAACCATTCATCCAGCCACACGAACACTGTACTAGCAGAGGACTCAGTGCACTGGAACTGGGAGTAGTGGGATGAAATTAAGACGTGGTACATTTGGGCTGGATATCAGGAAAGGTTTCCTAATACTGAGACCTCCTGGATTAGTCTGGAGAATGGTCCCCCAGGGCAATGGTGGAATTCCCATCAGATGAGACATTTCAAACTGCATGGGACAGAGGAGTAGAAGGTAGAGATGGGTCCAAATCAGAACTCCAGATCCAAATTCCTCTGGACTTCAGGAAATTTCAGATCCAGACCCAAACTTTGCAGCTCAGGCCCATCTCTACCATGCACTGGCCAGGGTTTGACTAAGTGTGACCAGCACTATAAGGGTTCCCTGCAGCTCTCACTTGACTGGTGGAGGCTCAGCACCTTTGGAAGTCCTGCCCAAGACTTCTTCCATCTCAAATGCATCCGGACCAAATCCTGAAGTCTTTGAAACTCTCCTGGAAGCCAGTGGGCATTTTGCCTGAGTAAAAAGTGAGTGAGGCCAGAGCAAGAACCTCAGGGTTTGGCCTAAGGGAGTTTTGCATGAGTATAAAACTGGGAAGGATGTTGGGTTGTTCTCTATGATGAGAACTTTATTCTTTGAGTGTAGCTTCTTTTCCTTTATACCCACGCCGGTCCATAATCTGCTATTAAGTTCAAAGTCTCAGAAATCACAGTGGCTCTTTCCGGAGGTAGAATGGTCTTTTATTCACTGCATACACAAAGAATCAATTAATTCGTCTTACAAAACCAGCACTCGCCGCCTTCTAGAGCAGCAAGGCCTAGGTACATAGTATAGATGAAGCTTCAATTCTTCCCTTTAATGCCCAGTGTAAAATTGTCCCAGATGGAAATGGAGCTTGCAAATACAGCGCTGTCACCTTTTATGAATAAAATAGATGATGAGAGATTAGTAACTTTGCTTATGCCGTGCAAATGCGCTTTGGGAACGAGAACTGCCCAGACGGCTCTGGGTCTGGTGGTGGTGTGCACATTTGCACCCAGTACCTATGTATCGTTCGTTTGCAATGCCAAGCTCTTTGCAGCCAATGAATTCCCATCTCTCTGTAATTTGCACATTATATAACCTCCTTCCCTCTGGTCAGTTCTCTCCTGAGAGGCCTTTCCAGCAGGACCCAGTGCACACAGAACACAGAGGATCCTTGTCTGTAAAGACCCCTTGAAGTGTGGCCCTTCAGCCTACACATCACCAGTGTCTGAAGGGCTAGTGTCAGGGTTGGACTGAGACTGTAAACTCCCTGGGGCAGGTACTGGAACTTCATCTATGCTTGTACAGCTCCTGACAGTGCTCAGCAAGTACTATTAATAACCACCCAGCACTGTGAATGGATCTACTCACTACTGTATTCATAATGTTATCTTAAGGGTCCTTAGCTACACCCCCAAAAGTAATTGCTTATCCATGCTAGGATCAGAGCCAGGCTAACTACAACTGTATTTACTGCTGCTGCTCCTAAAAGCCCTTTATGTGGCATGTCTAATACAGAACTCAGCAGTAAGGAGGGTTGTCGGCCTGCTGAAGTCTACAATCATGATAACAACTGTCACAGAGACATCTGCAGCACGAAGAGGGGCTTGGGCTTTAAAGCCCAAGTTTCCAAAAGGGCCCACTAATTTTGGGTGCCCCATGCTGGTCCTGAAGTCAGTGGGATCTGTGGGTGCTCGGCACCTCTGGAAATCAGGTCCTGTGGGTCTCGAGGCACCCAAATTTAGTGGCCACTTGAAAATTCTGGCCAAAGGCTTGTACTCCATCCTTACAGAAACTTCCTTATGTCCCCAATTCATGTGCTTAACTCGGAGCATGTTCTTAAGGCTCATTGAAGTCAGTGGGGCCTACGCACATGCCTAAGTGCTTTGCTGAATTGGAGCCTGACCCCAGACACTGGGGCTCAGAGCATAGGATGATCTCAGGAGACTTCCTACTGAGGTCTGGGGGAGTTTTGCCATTGACACCAATGGAAGCAAGATCAGACCATGCAAGCTGGTCAATCTTAGTAAATACTTTAAAAGTCAGAAAGCGCTCGGCTGCTATTGTAACAGGGACCTGCTGAGAACCCCGTACTGACAGGAATCTAGGCACAACATGGTGAATGAAGGACCTTGCCACTTCACTGGCTTACTTCTGTGGGTGTAGGTTAGACTCCGTGTTATTCTATCACATCTGCTTTGCTTTTAATTTCCTTTTATTCAGGCTAGTGTGTAACTACTCACCGAACAAAGCAATCACCACTAATTCATGCCAGCAACTATATGCTTTACTCTGCGATATCCTTCTACTGAATACTAGTCTAACTTCACTAAACCCCATTTGAAATCAACGGTGCAATTGTCCCATTCACTCAGTGGGACATTACACTTTTCTTTTTTTAATCTAGTAATGGTATTGCATAGGGACACTGTCCAGACAGTTCAAAGGACAGGGCTGCTGTCACATGACACGCTCCACCATCAGTCTTATTCGGAGGTATCCTTCAAACACAGAATCACTGTACGTTATCCATGCCATGAAGGGCCCATTGACATTAGTGGTGCAAGTTATCCAGGTGCCGTGCTACCTAGTAACACAAACACCCTGGAAAGTCAATGCTCCATGTGCAGGAAGGTCCACGTACAGAAACGCGGCTCTAACACAGAGCTAGTGGCTCAAAAATGGGATCAGACCATTTATTAAACTCAGTGGCATCTGGGTTGACAATTCACATAAAGCGATGGAGGCCCTAAGATCCTAGGGAGAGGGGACTTCGAACAAAATAGCTGCTAAAGACTGAGTTGCAGGGACGTATGCATGTCTGTGAGTCTGTCTGTCTGTCCAATAAACCATGGGCTAGAGCAGGGGTTCTCCAACCGGGGGTCGGGACCCCTCAGGGGGCTGGGAGGTTATTACATGGGAGGTCGCAAGTTGTCAGCCTCTGCCCCAAACCCCGCATTGCCTCCGGCATTTATAACAGTATTAAATACATTAAAAAGTGTTTTTAATTTATAAGGGGAGGTCACACTCAGAGGCTTGTTATGTCACCAGGACAAAAGTTTGAGAACCGCTGGGCTGGAGTCTCAGCTGGCGTAAACCTGCACAGCTCCTTTGACTTTAACGGAGTGACAACAATTTGCACCAGCTGAGGCTTTGGCCCCAATAACCTTCGGCGGCACCATCAGCTCGCTCTACAATACACACACTAATGCCTTCCAGCAAAATAAAACCAGCAGCCTGATTTTTCCACAAGACAGGGCTCAACCCTGCTCCCTCTAAGGTCAGGGAAGTTTTGCCATTGACTTCAGTGACTATAGGATCTGTGCTAGCCACAACCGTATCTGAACCGGATTGTTGTTAACATGGTGTCAGCCAAACTGTGAACACAACTTCAAAAGATCATTTCACACACTGACTCTGCAGCTGGAAGGCGACAGGTCAGCTGGTTGGTAAATCCCTCTCCTGGGTGTGTAATAAACAGCACCTTACTCTAAAGGTGAAATCGTTCAGAGCATTTTCTTACAATAGCTAGGGCTCCTCTCTTTGCCCAGAGAGACACCTGAAATGAAATGAAACATTCCCTTGAACTACGGCGAAACACTGTCCTCTGTTAAACAGCGTTTCCTTCTGTGTCCAGTGAGAACAGTCCCAGCAGAAATACTTAAATACCCCCAAATAAATTATTCTTCCACTTCTCAACCAGAACAAAAAGCAACAGTGTAAAACAAAACCATAAATTCAGTGTAAACCTATGATCAGAAGAGAGTGTAGGGGTCAGTGTTGAGAAAAGAGGGAACTGGACTTAGAGAATGATCCATACCCTCCAGAAGAGAATCAAACAGAGAATGCGATTAGGGCACTGTTTATGTAGCGGGGCGGCTCCAGGCACCAGCGCACCAAGCGCATGCCTGGGGCAGCAAGCCGCGGGGGGCAGCCTGCCGGCTGCTGTGAGGGTGGCAGTCAGGCAGCCTTCGGCGGCATGCCTGCGGGAGGTCCGCTGGTCCCGCGGCTTCGGCGGTAATTCTGCAGCGGGTACGCCAAAGCCGCGGGATCGGTGGACCTCCCACAGGCATGCCGCCGAATCCGCGTTACCAGCGGACCTCCCGCAGCCATGCCGCCGAAGGCTGCCTGACTGCCGTGCTTGGGGTGGCAAAATACATAGAGCCGCCCCTGTATGTAGAATGCTATATAGAAGAAGCGAGTTCTGTAGTCCATCCAGTACAAAACTGGTGAATGTGGATTTGATCCTGCACTACATTGTCAATGGGAGTTTCACCATTGAGCTGAACAGGAGCAGGATCAGAGCCTGTATGCCCAAGTAGAAAGTGAGTAAAATGCATGTTAATTACTAAAGAGCCTTTTTTTTTCCTGCCAGGAAGATCCCAAAACTGCACCACCGAGAATCCTCAAGCCCTGCTTTAAAATGAAGCCACCTCTGGGGTAGCACCCGGCAGCAGTTTAACAGTGCATAGCAGCAGGGTAAAACAGGAAGTGACGAACAGTTGAATTCATTTGGTTACATCTGTAGGATGTGTAAGACTTCCCAAGTGTAGTGTACAGTTATAGCTTGTTAAAACCCACAACGCTATTATGTTGCCTTTTTCTTCTGCGAGCTAAGAGCCACATTTTGCTCTCAGCTAAACCAGTGTAACGCCAGAGTCATCCGCTGAGCTCAGTGGAATTAATCTGGATTACTCAGAGCGCAGAATCTGGGCTCAAGTTCCAAGGCACCAGGTTAGAGCTCATGTTATTTTTATCTGCACTTTGTCTAGTGGCTCCAGGACAGGAGGAGGCCTTTACTTTCACAGTTTAAAAGGAAATCAAACGCTCGCAAAGCATGCTATTGGAGGCAACAGCTGCAAACAGTATGTAGTGTCTAGCTGGACTAGTCAGAGGGTCCACTCGCGAGCACGGCCTCTTTAAAGTAGCAGCAACTTGGGATAGAAAAGTGAACTAGGGGAGAACAATATGCGCTGGAGTGGGCTGGCAGAGTCCTTGCTGCTGGATGCAACAAATGCACTTGACTCTGTGCAAGAGCACTGCAGCCTGCCAGGCTACCCTCTCGGCGACACATGATGATAGGGCTGGGGGGGGTGGGGGGTGTAAGAGCCTTATGAGAGCAGGACACAAATTCCATGGTATAAAGTGAGTTGGTTCATCTTAGAGAATCCTAAGCAAATGTTACCAGGCGGATGCAGCGTAGAACGCTTCCCAGATCTGAAGCATCCCAACGTTGCAGGGGAAAGCGTGCCACCTGCCCACGCAGCAGCAATATGGGGGGCTGCAAGCCACCGGATTTTTGGCATGAGCCTAAATGCTAATGTTGGTGCGGGACAGAAAAAAAGAATATGTCCCACATCCGTAGGTACTGACTCTGCATGGAGAGGCAGTAGGAGAAAGCGCAGCTAAGGAGGCTTACGATTCCAAATCAGAATCTGGGCACCTGAGCAAGGGACCTTCCTTCATACCAGTTACCGTATGTCACAGTTTAAGTGGACAGGACTAGCAAAATCCTGCTCAGCTCAAGGAATGTTACCCTCATTTCTGCTGAGGGAAAGAAATTCTTACTCCCCTTTTCCTCCAGTGAAAGGGTGAGTGGTAACAGGAAAAGAAAGAAAAAAATCCCTACGGAGACAAACTGAGGAGCTGATCTGGTTCAAGTCCTCTGTACAACGCAGGCGCTGCCTGCAGCTAAACTCAGAGGGATGTGGAGGTTGTGCTTTACACGTATTAGGACCTGATCCAAAATCCATTCAAGATTGTGGGAGTCTCTCCATTAACTTCTGTGGGCTTCCGATCAGGTCTCTGGAGGGTTTGTTATTGTCTTAAGTTACTTTTGTGCTGTCAAAGGTGTTTTGCTCATTGGCAGTAATTCCTGACCTAACTGCCCCTCATCTAAAACCCTAAAAGAAAGCAACACCAAGGATCAATTAGTTCCTAACACAATCCATTCAAGCATCTGCATTACTGTATATCATTACACCCAAGATTAGCATAGTACACCCTTAAAAATCTGTACCAAAGAGCACCACTAAAGACTTGTAATGCACAAAAAGCCAGGGCCAATGGGCAACCTCCCAATCACTTCAGTGGGACCGGGAACTGGCCCCATAGTGCACTCTGGAACGAGGAGAAAGCATCTCAGTTGGGAGGGTAAGAGCTTGCCCAGTGTTCCTAATTCACCTTCCAGCAGCCAGGAATCCATAACACAGGGCTCCTGGTACATCTTCCATCTCTTCTCAGGCAATTCCCAGACTAGCCCCCAAGTGAAATCGTGGCCCGCTACATGTTCTCCAGCAAAAACCCCATTGTACATCACGATCCCCCATGGTGAACCAGGGACCTTGCTGAGGAATGGGTACCTACTATCGGCTTGGTTAAGCAGCACTTGAAGAGTCAGCTGAGATTTAAGTCACACCCACCTGGTGGCAAAAAGGGATTTTCAGATCTTTGGTGCTGGGTATAACCTGGGCTGGGCAGGGCAGCTAATCACACAAGAGGCTTCTTCCCAGGGAAACCTGCGTCTTCCAGTTGCAATGTGCAATACTCACAGACTGAGATGCCTCCATTTGAGGCTCTTTCGAGGTTATTTTGGAGAGCAAAGTGTCACCTCTTGCCCCTTGGAATTCTAGTTGCTGCAGTGTTTGGAAAGTCCACCAAGGAATTGATAGAAGAGGGATCAGATTCGTGTCAGAACGGATTTCCACTGCGTTTTTAAAGTCTCAGTGTCGGCAGGAAGTGGCTCCGCAGGAGGGTCACCCAGGAGGGAATTCTACAGCGCCTGCCCCTCCAGAGTCCCCGTTAGCTTCTCCTCATCCGCTTGCTTCTGCTGTTGCTGGATTCTTGCATAGGAAATGGCATCCCCTCTGCAGAGAGAAGGGACAGCATTAGAACATAAGCTATTCGGGGGCAAGGCTGTGTGTGCAGCACCTAGCACAAGGCAGCCGTGATCCAGAGTGGGGCCTCTTGGGGCTACCGGAATCCAAAGAGTAAATAATAACTACGGAGAAAAACTCAACAGTCAACAAGGTACGACAGGCAGGTGAGGAGGATTGGGAATGAAAGGAATCACCCGCTACTGACTTCTTAGGCACTTGAGTCTGCTCCCACTGGAATCAGTGGGTGTTTTACTATTGACCTGATCAGTTGCAGAATCTAACCCCATCTGAATAGATCTAGCTTTGGGGCTGGGATTTGCCATCATCTCAGCCAGGGCGATTTAGCTCCACAACTGAAGTTTTGTAAACAACAAAAGGCAAAAGTTCACAGAGCCTGGGCCCCTGAGAACTGCTCTCGGCCGGGATTTTCATGTAATGCCAGTGAAAACGTGTTTTCTCGTGGGGATGTAAACGTTCTCCAGCAGCGTTTGCAGCCCAAATGCCGGCTTAGCACACGAGCACCAGAAAATGAAACGAACCAGAAATGTTAAAGTGACGCTGACGGGAATTTCCTTTGGGTTGCAGAAAGCAAACGAACAGCATAAAAGAAAATCAGAGGGGCAAAATTCTGCTTTAATCGTATAAAGCTTGGTGAGTAATACAGGTAAGGAGATTTCTAAACACACCCACAAGATTCCAAACCCAAAAGGGTCCCTTTAAAAACTTGCTGACACGTGCTGGGAAAATTCTTAATTGGTACGTTGCAAGCTCCCACAATGTGAGTTTATGGCTGTAACGGGGGTGTCCACCCCACACGAGGCCTGAGCAGGTTAAAAAGGGCCAATTAACTTTGTAAGCTGCACCTGGAGGAGCACCAAGGCTGGAGATGAAGCCCGGCTGGGCTTGTACAAAGCCAGGAAGTTGAGCACAAGAGGAGGCCGCAGGGAGCAGCTGTGCAGTCACTCCCTACAGAGAAAGGGAGTTGTCTAGGGATGAGGAGGCGTCGTGGGGTAGATTAAGCCTTGGGATCCCACCCTGGACTTCAGAGACTGGCAAGGAGCCACAGGGAGCGCAAGAAGCTCAAGCTGGCAAACCCAGAGGTGGGCCCGGAGCCAGAGAAGTGAGGGAGGAAGGAGCTCAGGGAAACAGGAACAGTCTGAATTTAAGTAGACCATGGTTGCAAGACACAGCGTCCATGGGCTGGAACTCAGAGTAGCAGGCGGTTCCCCTACCAGCCTCTGGGCCTGGGCTTGGACCGGAAGACTGCCTGACCTGGCACACAGACAGCTTGTCCAGTGGGACTTTGACCCCCTGGAAGGGGAGGACTAAATCGTGATCCAGCCAGAGGGCTGAGTCACGAAGAGGGACCCCAAGTCCCAGAGAGAGAGAGGCCACAGTGCAAGCAATCTATGGAAAACGGCACCAGACGCAGCGAGAGTTAATCCCCAGCCCCAAGGAGGCGCCCCAGCAGTGAATGTATGCACCTCGTTACAAGGACGCTCTGACCCTGGCTCTCCTAGTGTGCTCAGAAAGACGTTAGCTTTCTTAATATATGCTCTCCATGAAGCACTCCTAGCCCCCAAATCCTGCCACACAAACCGTTTGCATGAACCTCGACTGCTGCAGGTATAATTAAATACCACCCACGCAGGGCCCAGTCTCACCACACTGACTGCCCAGCATCCCAGCAGCCCCGTTGAAGCCAAATGGCTCTGCTGCAGAGAGTCAGGGTCACAGGGCCAGCCCCACCCCTGTACTGTACATGAAATAAAGCGCTTTCTCCCTTACTTTTTGCCAAGCGCCGACAAGCCGTACAGCACTCCTGTTGCAAAAGCGATAGCATTTCCCAGTAACGTGGTCAGCGTCAGACTGAGTATGACTGGAAACACGGCCATGCTGGGGGAGAGAGAGACAACGTCAGCCATGAAACAATCCCCAAGGGGTTCCCCTCTCCTCCTGTGTTGGAAATTACTTAGATTCATAGATTCATAGATTCTAGGACTGGAAGGGACCTCGAGAGGTCATCGAGTCCAGTCCCCTGCCCTCATGGCAGGACCAAATACTGTCTAGACCATCCCGGATAGCCATTTATCTAACCTACTCTTAAATACTTCCCTAGTAGGTTTACTAAGAGTTCCCATGACTCAGTTTGCACACAAGCGTTTCTTTATTAGTTCAAAGGTCGCTTGGTGTTCATTTCACCCACAACGTCAGTGCATGCTTGTCTTCTATATCCTGACAGCAAATAAGCTACAAACACTGCCCAAAATACCTACATCAGACCCAGGCCCAGGAGACTCCTGCCCATCATGGTGTAACTCCAAAGGGGGAAGGAGAAAGCTCTGACAAACAAACTTCGGGAAGCCTGTCTTTCTCTACACTATAGCAAACAAGGGAAGTACTGCCGGTTACTGGATCTTCGCCAAAGACAGAAAAGGCAGGCTGAGGGCTCCACCTTGCACATGATTTCCAATGAATCATGCTTTCTCTAGTTCCCAAAATAGAGCGGGTATTTCCAGGGTCACTACACCTTTAACCCAGACAAGTCTTCTTTCTAATTTATTCTCTTAGTCTCATAGACTCATAGACTTTAAGGTCAGAAGGGACCATTATGGTCATCTAGTCTGACCTCCCGCATGATGCAGGCCACAAAAGCTGACCCACCCACTTTCCCTTATCTCAGCTGTTGAAGTCTCCAGATCGTGATTTAAAGACTTCAAGTCGCAGAGAATCCTCCAGCTTGTGACCCCTGCCCTATGCTGCGGAGGAAGGCCAAAAACCTCCAGGGCCTCTGCCAATCTACCCTGGAGGAAAATTCCTTCCCAACCCCAAATATGGCGATCAGTAGAACCCCGAGCATACAGGCAAGATTCTCCAGCTGGACCCACATTTTACCAGCGATGGCACGTTATTGCCTAATTGACTAAAATCACGTTATCCCATCAAACCATTCCCTCCATAAACTTATCTAGCCTAATCTTGAAGCCAGAGAGGTCTTTCGCCCCCACCGTTTCCCTCAGAAGGCTCCCTTAGTCATGCTTTAAGCCTCTGGCTCACACGAACATTCAAACTCAGACCCATAATTAGGAGTCTACCAAATCCGCAGCCGTGAAAATCATGTCATGGACTGTGAAATCTGCTCTCCAGCTGCTCAGCTGTGAAGGCAGAGCGGCAAGCGGCGGCTGCTGCCCGGCACCCAGCTCCGAAGGTAGTGCCACCCGCCAGCAGCAGTGGAAAAGTGAGGGTGGCATTACCACAACCCCCAATAGGCTTGCGACCCCCTTCTGGGCCCGGGCCCTAGTTTAAGAAACGCTGTGAAGAAATAACGTGGGGTTTTTTTCAGTAACATCTCTGCAAAATTTGCTATTTATGCCATGAACAACCCATGAAAACTGTGTGATTTCTCTGCGATTTCAGTAGATCCCTACCCAGTGCATGCCCCTGTTCCTACTAGCTGGGAGTGGCTGCACTCTTCCATTCCCCTGGAAGCAATGCACATGCTCTCTGTGACACCCTGGACTGACCTCTCCACTAAGGGCCAGATTCTGCCTTGATTCCTGCTGAGTCCGGCACATCCCCCTCCTCACAGGATTGGGCAGAACCTTGGCTCTTCCACCCACAGGCCAGCCAGTGCAGCTGGGCTGGCACAGGGTAGGCAGTGATCAGCTGCTGCTCACACTATTTCCCCCTGGAAGCAGGGCAGAAATCGTGAGCACAGTCCCTTCCCTGGGCTGGCACGGCTAGGCACTGCCCCTTCCTCAGGGTTTTGCCCTTAATGTGCCTGAGGGGCACAGACTGAAAAGCTCAAGGGCCTGATTATGACCTCCCTGAGACTGGTGTAATTTCAAATCCTCCAGGGCAAGGATGGTCTATTTCCTGGTTCTGTCCAGCACTCAGCACAATAGGGTCAATGGCTCTGGCTAGCCACCCAAGTCCAAGCCTGCCTGACCCCCTGGGTCCGATCTCAGGTGGCTAGTCTGAGCCGCTGGCAGGGCGGCAACCTCGACACTGCTCTTCTTAGTGCGCTAGTTCGAGTGAAGCTAGCATGAGTCTGTCTGCCTGGGCTGGGAGGCTGCTTCCAGGTGCAGTGTGGACGTAACCCCAGCGTTCAAGGCCGAAAGGGACCACCAGATCCTCTTGTCCGTATATCACAGGCCACCAAACCCACCAATCAGGGCCAAAGTCCACTAAGCCGCCCGTCCAACCCCTCTGCCAGCCTCCCCCTGCCGGCCCACAGCTGGAGCCGGCCACCAGTCCTTACCCACAGTAGAAGGCAGCTTTTTGCCAGGGCCGCAGCTTATCCGCCCGCGCAGACACCGCGTTTGCAAATTCAATAAACTGGCAGCAGAATGGAGCTTCGCACAGGAACAGGATAAAGGCATTTAACCTTCAAAACAAAGCAAAAGAGAGTTAACCCATCAGCACGCTCCGGAGAGGGAACTCGATTCTCACGGTCGGGGTCCCATTCACACGTCTGCCAATGATCCAAACAGCTCCGATTCTTAACAGTCAGAGAGATTTTATTACATGGGGCCAGATTCTGCCTCCTCCCCCGCTCCAGTGGCCAACAGTCCAGTTGAACTGGCCACGTGGGACTCCCCCTTTCACACAGGGACCCCCAGGGTGGCATGGAGCCAGTGAAGTGCACTCCAGCAATCCTGAGACAGGGGAATGACCCTGGTGAACTAAGCTAGGCAGGGCAAGTGAGAGACGCCGCCCCCCCTCAGTTACACGGAGCATGAGCCTAGCACAGCCGAGGAGCCTGCCCTGAAAGCCTAGCTCAGCAGCGACGTAAATGGGAGCGTAAGTTACACGTGGAGCGTAGGTTGGTCCAAACTGGGTGAAAATGCCCAGTCCACACACACTTGACCTTACACTCGTGTTAATCTCCTGCTGCCCATCCCCTCCATGAGTGGCAGGTTACACTGCTTTACTGCCTACTCCCCACGTATCACTGGGGCAGTTTAGTTCACCACAGCAGCTACTTCAAGCCATATCCGGCCCAAAGCCTTGCTGGGTAAATCCTTAGTGATCACGAGGATTTGCGCACAAGCTTTGTGGCAGCAGACGTAGAAGCCTGTAAGACATCTGCAGCCAGTGGCGCTTCAGGAAGGGACCCTGTTTTATGCTGGATCAGAGTCTCCTGATAGTTGCAGATGGCAAGATCGGGGAAGATCAGGACACTAGGCTAACCCAGCTGCCTCACGTCCCATGAGACAGACAGTGATCTCTTGCCGCGGTAGGCGGCCATTACAAAATGCGAGCGCCGAGTTATTTGCCCACAAAGCGCAGCTGTATCGCCTGCCGCTGCTAAATGGTGATTCCAAAGTTGAGACCAGCAGCGCTGGGGCGAAGAGGGAAGAACAAGCGTACTTACATCATCCACACCCCAGCCGCTATGTTCAGGGGGTTGATGGTCACGCAGTTCCAAAGGCCAGCAAGTGCGCAGGCTTAAAAGCAAAGAGATGGATTTTAATTCATGTGAAAAATAAACCACGACGCACATAGAGGTGGCAGCGTGATCTAGTGGCCAGGGCACTGGCTTGGCAGGTAGGAGATCTGGGTTTGAATCCTGGCTCTGTCACTGACCTGCTGTGTGACCTTGGGCAAGTCTCTGCACCTGTGCTTTCCCTCTTCAGCCTGTATTTAAACTTTCCAGGTCAGGGATTACCTCTCATTACTTGTATGTACAGCACCTAGCACAATAGGGCCCTGATTTCAATTGTCACCTGTAGCCACTACTATGATATGAATAACAACTACATAGACCAATCCACACTGAAGGGGAGAGATAATGGCCAGAATGATTGGGATTTAGGAGATAGGCTCTACTCCGAATTTGGCTAAGACAAGAACACGGGGTGCCTTTGGCTCAGGACACTCGTCCTTCAGGCTTGTGTTTCTACCGGCATTCAGGGCTATACCGAACCCCAGTGTGTTTGCTTTCAAATTAAGTCATTTTAAGGGAGCCTCTGCTTTTATTTGCTGAAGAATCTCGAGTCACGTGTAACTGGCCCCGAGGTAAACAACAAGCTACCTGCCGGCAGCACGGCCTTCCAACGGCAGCATCTTGTGCAAGAAGTAAACAGTGAAACGAAAAAAGAGCTGCAGTCTGCAGCGAACCAAAGGCAGAAACAAGAACTGACAAATGGGCCAAATCCCTCTCTCATCTACAGCGCTGTAAATTCAGAGTGACTCCTCTGGAGTCGTAGGGACTTAACCGGAGATACTCTGGGCAGACATGGGTGGAACTCAGAGCAGAACCTGGCCGTCTTGCTGCAGATATGGAAGCAGTTGTTGGACAAAGCAAGCCCCAAAATAACCCACGAGGCCTTGAGTATGTAATGCAAGAAAAGGAGGGAGGCAGCCAGCAATTTGTGAGCCTGGAGTGCATGCATTTACCTAGCAGCTCATTAAACTTGCAAAGTGTCACCTGCATTCGATACAGCCAGTCTCCTCAATTAACAATAAGAGGCTGCCTTTATGCCCAGGGTAACCAGAGCCCAGGTGTGGAGGAGGGGCTGCATGGCCTGCGTGTAGGACAGAGCCAGCGGCTGGCTCAATAAGAAATAACAACACTAAACAAAACTCCAGCTAAAATAGGGTCTCTAAAGGTTAGTATAGAGGCTGCTGGGGGTTTTTAACCCATGCAATGCAAATGACTGGGGTCTCTCTGTATTTGAAAGCTGTGACCTACTCAGCGTTAAGGATTTCCATAGATTAGAGTCTACATGGGTCATTGCCCTGCCTGTGGTGTGTCTTGTGTGGTTGTACCTCATCTTAGAAAACAGAGAGCAACGTGGCGGAGTTTTTAAAGCAATCATTAATGAACCCTCAAAACCCAGTATAATTAGCACCTTCCACATATGGGGAAACTGAGGCACGGGGTGGCAAAGTGACTTGCCCAAACTTACCCAGTGTGAACTCAGGACTTGCCCAAACTCACCCACTGTGAACTATCACAGTGAGAACTCAGGACTTCCTGTGCTCGGCCACTGGAGCCCACCTTTTGGGAAACACTAAGCAGTACGATTTTCTAAAAAGGTCCACCAGGGGTATTTCAAGGAGATTAACGCATTCCAAAGAAAATGAAGACTCAGTGCGAGAGGTCAGCCGGAGAGAAGAAAAGACAAAGGAGAAATAATAATAACTCTTATCTAGTGCTGCTTTACAACAGAGGTATCGTTATCCCCATTTCACAGATGGGGAAACTGAGGCGCAGAGCGGCAGAGTGACTTCCCCAAGGTCACCCAACAAACCAGTGGCAGAGCCAGGTCCAGCACCCAGGTCTTCTGAGGCTCAGTCCAGTGCCCTGTCCCCTAAGGATACATGCACTAACAGGAAATGGAAACCGCCTGCAGGGTTCAGGAGATTCTTTATTCAATTCTTCCTAAACTATCCGCTGGTGAGGCCTGCGTGTGCTCCCACTGGCACCAGAGCTCCAGGCAGGGCTAGTGGGACCAGCTGCTGGCACAAAGACAGGGCATAGACAGCTCTACTGCTTGTCCTTGATACATCTTAGCAGATAAAAGCATCAGCTTGTGAGCAGGGGAGGTGGGCAGTTAAACCCAGGGCTTCAGGCACTCACGCTGCCCATAAGAAAGTGCATGATTATCATAAGTAGGAACCACTTAAGAGTCACATAGCAGCTGTCATCCAAAAGCACTTTCAAACTGATAGACCTGTTATATACAGGGATCACTTCACCCACCACGGAAACACAACTTCCTCTGGGGTGGAACACAGCAGCTGATATTCACCACTCACAACAACACTACACAACAGTGTAGGAAATTTAGGAAGATCACACATTCAGCTGAAACCATAGAGAGAACTTAGAGGGCAGAATGCTATAATCCAAGCACAAATTTGGCCTACACACCAGGGCTAATAACTTCTTGGAATACATTTAAAAAAACAATTACGATTTGGGGGTTCTTGTTATGAGGACCCACCCCCAAAACAAACCTGACTGCAGAATGCCTCCGTACGACTCTCAGCTAAGCAAGAGATTGTTTTAACCCTCAGTGTAACAACACCAGTGACCAAACCGTTCTCTCACTCTTATCGACGCCTTCCTTAGTAGCCAACAGGGAACAAACAGCTGTCAGTCAAGATTTCTTTTCCAGTTCAAGGCCACAGGGAGCTTTTCAATTATGAAAACGTCTGCTGGGATTTGTGGTGTGGAAGACGGACAGGTCTGGTGCTTAGTCAATTAACTAATTTGCTGAATCACAAAGAAGCACACAGTGAACATGGAGCTAAAATGAACTCTTAGCAAAAGAATTCACTCCTCTATAATTCATAGAATCATAGGACTGGAAGGGACTTCGAGAGGTCATCTAGTCCAGTCCCCTGCACTCATGGCAGGACTAAGCATTATCTAGACCATCCCTGGCAGGTGTTTGTCTAACCTGCTCTTAAAAATCTCCAGTGATGGAGACTCCACAACCTCCCTAGGTAATTTATTCCAGTGCTTAACCACCCTGACAGTTAGGAAGTTTTTCCTAATGTCCAACCTAAACTGGCCTTGCTGCAATTTAAGCCCATTGCTTCTTGTCCTATCCTCAGAGGATAAGGAGAACAGTTTTCTCCCTCCTCTTTGTAACAACCTTTTATGGTCTTGAAAACTGTGATCATGTCCCCTCTTCTCCAGACTAAACAACCCCCGTTTTTTCAATCTTCCCTCATAGCTCAAGTTTTCTAGACCTTTAATCATTTTTGTTGCTCTTCTCTGGACTTTCTCCAATTTGTCCACATCTTTCCCGAGCCTCAATCACCTGCTCCAACCACTAGACAGTTCTGTCTCTAATATATTTTGGGCTAAGTTCAAGTATCAGCAGTCGCAGCTCCACTGGCGCTGACTCGCCATAGGCTAGCATTTGAAACCATTACAATACAAACCCCTTTTGTAATTGAATGAATCTGGCATTTTATGAATAAACTCTCTCTCTTTTTAGCAGCCTGGATACAATCAACTAAAATATGAATAAGTTGGTTCCATTTCTTAGTGACCCACAAAGACTAGAGATAGAGTCCAGAGTCCTGTAGCAAATGGTGTTGTCTCCCTGCGCTCTGGGAACCTGCCTCCTGTTATTTTGCTTCCCTGGTATGAAGCTCTTTGAAAAGACATGGTTATTAGTATGTGGGATTCAGAGAATTGTCTCTTCTGTTACCTGCCATTAACTTTGGCCTCTACTTGCCCAAGAATCGCTCAGCATCTTTTTTTCCCTGCTTGGCTGTAACAGGGCAGTTACCCCGCTCCTGGAAAACGAGGTTAAAGGGAGGCTGAATGGGGAAGTGGCCGCAGCTGGGGCCACACTTAATCAGGGCACAGGCCCTGATAAGTAGGGCTAAGGGAGGAGCTGGGTCAGAGTCTCACTCCAGCCCTGCTCACCTCCGCCTCCTCCCCTGAGCGTGCCGCCGAGTCCTGCTTCTCCCCCCTTCCTCCCAGCGCTTGTGCCGCGAAACAGCTGTTTCGCGCAGCAAGCAGTGGGAGGAAGGAGGAGGAACGCTCGGGGAAGAGGTGGGGCCAGGGCGGGGATTTGGGGAGGGGGGGGGCCGGGGGGAAAGTTGGTGCCTGTGGTGAGAAGGGCCTGGGAGCAGAGGGTACCTCAAGCAGAGCAGTGCTGGGGAAGGGCAAGAGGAGCTGGGGAGCACCAGCCTGGCAACTCCCCAGGCTGAGGCCTTGTCTAAGGTCTAAAGAGGTACCGGGGCTGAAGAGGGGGCAGCCCGGGGATAGGCAGAGGCAGCTGGTCCTACCCCCTTGCCAGTGATGAGTGGCTATTACTGACTGCAGTTTGCCCGAGAGAAAGGGGGCTAGATGATGACGGGCAGTAGCCACTGAGGCAAGGTGGGTATAGAGGGTTGGGGGTTCCCCTGGGAGGGGAGACCCAGAGTGGGGGGGTACTGCTGTGGGCAGAATCCCAAGGTAAAAAGCACTGGGGTCCAGCAGCACGGGGGCCTGAGGCAGGTGAGACACTGGCCAGCAGAGGGCGCTCCGAGAGCTGAAGTGAGCTAATTCCCAGACTGACCAGCAGGAGGTGCCGCACTGGTGAGTCAGCGCTCTGTTACACTGGCAAAATCACAAGGAGAAGAAACTATCAGGTGTATACATTGATTTTCCGGCCTTCCTGGTTTGTTCGCAATACTGTTACTGATCACAAGAGCCTGACCGCAACACTTGCCAAATCTGACGTTTGCCGGACGGCCCCAGCACCTGGAATCATGTGAATAGGTGAGACTCTCAGCTTTCATGTTTTTACACCAAGTACATTTCGAGCGCTCCTGGTTGCAGAGAAAGGTTGGAAACATGACCCGCGTGTGCCCTAAATGCTCAGAAGCCAAAGAAAAAGAACCCAAATGTCTTATTTTCCCCAATCTCATGACTTTTAAAGCACCCTGGTGATTTTTTTAAGGCTTGAAGTTGGCAATGCTGGCCGTGGCACATAACAGCTCTGCACCCTCAGCCCAGAGCATTTCTGTGGCCCCCAACCATCCTTTGCTAAAAACCCCAGCTCACCAAGGACTGTGTGCTGCACCGAAACTACTGAGGCTGGAGTGGAAGCCTCCAGGTAGCTCTGGTACCACTCACACCCTGTGAGGTAGATTCCTCCCTCCAGCCCTAGGGAGACTCTTCAGCAAATTTCCTGACTGTATGCAAGGTAGGGAGGGCCTTGCAAGAAGCGCTGTGCACTGAGGTGAATTTCACCCAGTAGGAGCAACTCTGTTACGTCCTTTCACCACACCAGAAACGCAGCTGCCAACATGCGCCTCAGCTGTGTGGCGTGTTCTGAAGCCCCAGCCCGGCACAACCTCAGGTTAACAAACACGTTCTACCCAGGCGAACAAAAGGAACTGTAGCAAACCTGCCGCCCGCTCCAACTCCAGAACAAGAGCCAACCGAGGAGGCGGAGACAGAGAAAGGGAATGGATGCAACGTTACAGCACACACTGAACAAATCAAAAGTGAACGTCTTTCTAAGAGACACGCTCTCACGTCCCCAGAAGTGATGGGCTTGATGCAGGAACAGGCACCCCGTGGAATTCTCCGGCCTGCGCTATGCAGGAGGCCAGACGCGGTGATCGTAACAGTCCCTTCTGGCTTTAAGATCTATTCATCTTGTCAAACCATGGAGCAGCACAACCCAATATGACCCAATGATCCCTGGTGGAACTGCCTTGACTCTTTCCATGGGAGATTGTTAATTTCAGGGGCAAGTAATTAACAAGCCAGCACAGCTCTCCTGCTTTGTGCCATCTCCCTTCTGTTTGTTTCAAAGATAAAATCCCTTATTTAAAAAAAAAAAAAAAAAAGGCTCCATATTATCCTTTTGGGGTCTCTATTCACGGGTTAGTAATAACAGAAGCAAACACACACACACACACACACACACAACCACTGTGAAACCAGGAGATCAGCAAGGAAAAGAAAAAGTGGAAACACAGAAGCATCGAATGGTCAGTAACAACAATGAACCAACCCCCGAGCCTGCAAACAGCGCGCGGATTGCTTTGCCCATGCAGAGCCCCATTAAAGTCCAAGTGCCATCCCTCTGCCTGCTACACGTTGCAGGATCGGGGCCTCACACCCGGCTTCCATTGCCTCCCAGGAGCATTCCACCTGAAGAGGAAACGTCACGATTTGGCATCAGAGTAATAATTTATGTGTAGAATGACGTTCCTCCCCCAGGATCCCAAAGTGCTTCCCAATGAGGCCCAGGCGGGTTAAACAATCAAAGCGTGCACAACGCAGGCTCCAGTTAAAATCACTCTGATTCCCGCACCTAGACAATGTGCTTCTGGATCTTTGTCTGGCTGTGATTAGACAGACAGGCAGACAGACCATTGCTGATAGGACCTAAGCCCTCTTTCATCGCCAGTCACTGGCAGGCGGGCACAGATCAGCATCGCTGACCCAGGACGGCCCATCCCTGGAGGTTATTCCAGGGGCATCCGGCAAGCAGGACCTTAGGGCTACTTACACACGCCCCCGATGACACCGGCGATCCTGCACAGCCACTTGTACCACCAGGTCATGCCATCGTCCGCCGAAGAGGCAGCTGGGGCAGGAACTGCTTGTTGGAACTGATCCTCCTGGGAGCTCATTGTGGGCCCCCGCCGCAGGGGTTAGGGGCAGCCCCCCCTTTGCACCTGAGCCACAGCAGAAGGGGACACCCCCCCACACACACTCCCACACACCCAGAAGAGTCAGTGACAGCTCCTCACACCCGTCCTGCGGCGGGGCCCCTCACCACCGCCCCAGGGACCCGGCCTGGCCCCTGACAGCTGCTCTGTTCTTGCTGACAATGGAGCGCCTCTGTCCCCAGCAGCAGCACAGCTTCCACGTCTCCCTGCGTGTTGCATTATGGGTCCCCTCCCTTCCGAGAGGGAGGGCTCTTTTGTCACCCTCTCATTAAATAGCGAAGTGGGCAGGGCCCTGCCTGGCCACAGTGAGGAGCAGCAGCTGGCTGAGGAGTGACTGAGCCTGTGGCCATAGGTTGTGTGTGAGTGTGACCCCTGCGAGTGCACGGGGCCTAGGCATGCTTGTGAGGCTGCCTGAGTGTGCAAATGCAAGCGCCTGGGTGTAGACGTGCTGCTATCTTGCCTTTATAAAGCATCTTTCAAACACAGAGGGAGCGTTTGTAAGAGCCAGTCTGGGAACACAAGCGTTCCTTGATGTCCTGCGTTCAGACCCCCAACCCCACCCCACTCCACCCGCTCCTACATCCGTGTGGGTTCAACAGCTCTGGTGAACTGTCTTCTCCGCTCGCGTTTTTCATTCTTGTGCGTGTCTCTGCACTTTGGCTTCACCAGAGAGGTGAACGGACTGGCCCAAGGTTACACAGATTACGTCAGTGGTAAAGCCAGGAGCAGAACCGGGAAGCCTGACTCCTAGTGCCCTGGGCTGCGCTAACTACTAGGACATGCTGCCAAGGTGGCCAGCGTGCGAGGGCAGGATCCAGGTCTGTCAGACCGAGTGGCTAGGTAGGAGACATGACGGAGGTGCGTCTCTATATGCAAACCAAAGAATGTACTGAGTTAAGGCTGATTAGAAGGGATTGGTTTGGGAGGGACTCAGGGAAACTCCCACTCCACCCTTCACCCCACCTCTTTTCTCGCTCTCTGTGTTCAGTGATTTCCAGAGCTGCCAAATCTCAGTCATTTGGAAAGAGAGTCCCTCAGTTAGGATTTAATTTTATGGGGCAGTTCTTAAAGTGTTTCCCCCTCTTGTGAAGAGGGATTTTGCTGTGTGTTTCAACGAGGCATTCCAAATCGCTCGTCTTCTTGGAAATCTTCCCATTCCCATTAGAGACAGGAGGAAAGCACCTTTTAAATGTGGCGTTGACAACTCTCATGATTTTATCATGCGTCTCGCAATATTTGGAGTTTTTCTTAAGGCCCCTGCTCCTGGAATCATGGGAGTGCATTAGAATCTCAGCTTTGGTTTTTTACAAAAGTTTCTGGCTCTCATGGTTGCAGAGAAAAGTTTGAAAACATGAACCAAGTGCGACCTAAAGGTTTAGACACCAGAAAACAATGAATAAGAACCCAACATCTTTTTTTTTTTTTTAAAAAAGCTCATGATTTTTAAGCCAACATCTTGATATTTGAGGCCTGACTCATGATTTTGGAAAAAGTACAGAAAAGGGCAACAAAAATGATCAGGGATATGAAACAGCTTCCATATGAGGAGAGGTTAATAAGACTGGGACTTTTCAGTTTGGAAAAGAGACGACTAAGGGGGGAAATGACAGAGGTCTATAAAATCATGGCTGGTGTGAAGAAAGCAAATAAGGGAGTGTTATTTACTCCTTCTCATAACACAAGAACTAGGGGTCACCAAACGACATTAACAGGCAGCAGGTTTAAAGCAAACAAAAGGAAGTATTTTTTCACACAACACACAGTCACCCTGTGAAACTCTCAGCCAGAGTATATTGTGGCACCGAGTTCATCATTAGCAGGACGAGTTCTCTACCTAAATATTGGGAAATACTATTATTGCTGCAGGACATGTAGTGCCCAATTCTCATTTCTGCATAAGGCCCCTTTCCACCATTCTGATAGTCAAGTGGGTGTAAATGTCAGGGTCCTTGTACACTGCTAGAGTGTAAAGGAGCATCAGGTCCATCAATTATGAATGGTTTATCCGTCCGCGACACACATTCATATCATTGGCCAAAAGGAAAAATGCTGAAGCGTTAAGCTGCTGACTTTCACTAACTGCTCTAATCTACATCTTCATCGGTGGAGGCTGAGGCACTGTGAGCAGACCAGACCCTGCTAACAAGGTGACATTAGATCACAGTCATCACTTGTGCTTCAGTCTCCCAGTCATTCGTTTCAGACCGGCAAGTTGTCTCACTACTAGTTGGGAGAGACAGGAAAAAACTTTTAAGAGAATCATAATATTTGACGGCTATATAATGCCTTTCACGTGAGCATCTCCACATGCTTTACAAATATTAACTGAGCAGCCCTGTGAAGTAGACAGGTATTGTTATTCCAATTAAACAGAAGGGGAAACTGAGGCGGAGAGGTTAAATGACTTGCCCAAGGTCAAACGGTGAATCAGTGGCAGAGCAGGGAGTCCTGACTCTAATTGATCCACTGCTTCCCTGGCTGGGGTGTCCCTTGTTTCCATTTATCTGGGCTTTCTGACCCAGTACTCTGCTCGGAAACTGACACGATCTTCTGTAAAGCCTTCATTAAATTCAATTTCAGCCTGGCTCCCCGACGATTCCCAGAAGAACAGCTGTTTCCCACGAAACACTGTTGTCTTCATGGCATTCACATCGCGTATCTGAACAAAGAAAGGAATGAATCACAATCACATAGCAGTCTGCCTCTTTCAAGCAAGAGCATTGTTTGTGCTATGCCAGGACGCCTCAGAGAAGCGCATCACATTACACTGGTGTAACTGAGATCAGAATTGGCTCGATATGATTTCCAATGTGCTTTGAAGCTCGAACGTAGAAGCAAACTTCTCAGGGCCTGTGAGGGGAAAAGCGTGAGCTAGAGGTGCCCCGCCCCAGGCTGATGTCTCACCGAGATGTAATTGGAGTGTGTTTGGTTGTTTTCAGTCCCCAGGTCCATGTAGAGGGCATGGATGGCTATGCGATACCGTGGAGCCACGTTGATAAAGGTCCGACATGCCACTTGTCGTTTTGGGTCCGGCAACTGTCCGGGATTCACTATTTCACCCCAGGGACCAAACAGCTGCACATCACAGTCTGGGATGGGGAAGCGGGGTAGGAGAGAAAGCAATTTGGAACACTGTTTGGTACGTCCATACAAAAGAAAGCACGCCCAGAAAGTTCCCCGGTGCACTCCAGAAGGGGATCTCAGAGCACGTGCAAGCATCTTGCAGGGACTCAGCTTCAATATAGAAGGGCAGCCAATGGAGACGACTGTACCCAACATTCAATATTCTGCCTTCAGCTGAGAGGCCTCCCTGTGAAGGAGCAACATCTCTGGCCCTTTGGTCTCCATGGGCAGCCATGAACTGCACAGTGAAACTCAGTGGGCCTTACTTTCCCTGCCCCTGCCCTAAAGCCACAGTGAAGAGTTCAGCAAAGTACCTTGATAATATTTTTTTGCAGCTGCTTTGCTGTTGTACTGAAGAACAACACCATTCCCTGGCAGCAGGAGGCGCTGTCTCACCATCAATGTGTTGGTCCTGGAGTTTACGGATGACACCGTCAGCTTCTTACAGCCTGTCCGCCACATTATCCGTCCAGAAAACAGCACGATCTCCCCTGTAATAAAATTAAATAGTGATAAAGGACCCTTTTACCGCAAAGTACTTTACAGAGAAAGTCTCAAAGGTTAACATCCGTGAAAAAGCAAAAACAACCAGCGTCGAGGCAATGATCGCAGGAAGGGTGGTCAATGAAAACGCTTCCCTTAAGCAGAGTCTCACTTTCTGCGGCATAAATGGTGATAACTTTGAAGACACAGCCAAGGACAGACGTGAATGGATAGCAACTGTCAATCAAAGATGTAAACCCTTTGAGGAAGACAGATGCAAAAAACTGACTGGAAAAAGGGCCAAGCGTCATGCCAAGTCCTCAGCAGGAACCTGCACATTCCCATGTGACATCTGTTTGCAATCTTGCGCCTCATATACACCTACATGAGAACACACACGCTGTCGTGACGGCACAGTCGGATACAACAGACAGCCGTATACTTTACAGCTCTAAGAAATTGCTTTAGAGACTAAGGTAATGATCACTTCACCCATCAATGAAATGCAGCACCTCTGGCATGGAACACAGCAGCTGTTTAACAGCACACAACAGCGCTATGTAACAGTTCAAGAAAAGAAGTGGAGAAGAATCAGGTATCTAAATGAAACCACAAGGATATTTTAAGGAGCAAGATTATAATTGGGCACACTGGAATCTGGCAAGGAGGCTGTCGCTAATACCTTGCTAAAAAGGTGCCGTGAACTCTTTAATGACCACCAATGGCCAGGACCATGGTTTCATGTCTCATCTCAAAGATGGAGTCACCGTCACCAAGGGCTGCGCTCCATCATGGCCCTGCGGTCATTTCTACATTAACACTAATACATGACGCACTTTATTAAGGAAGTTAAAAACATTTAAGTAGCACCACAAGTTATCCAGGGCTTTACAAATATAAATATGACGTGGTCTCTGCCCTGAACATTTTCTAATCTGTGTAACGCAAGATAAACAAGAACAAAGAGATCAATTCAGGATGGGAGGATTCTTGATCAGGAGAAGAAAACTTAAAAACAGAAGCAGATGTTTAGTGGGTAAATGACTCGTTGCCAAACCTAGTAATTCACTGTCTAAGACACTGCTTGTAAAGTATGTAAGACTGTTCTACATAAGAGCTATTGGGTTGGACTTAAACATTTCTATATATCTGTGTGCTTTATTTTGAAAAACTTTTATAGTATTTCCCAGTAGGTGGTTATCTGGAATCACAGAATATTTGATGTGTTCTGGTTCCAGGCAGTAAATGAACTGCACTTGGGAGCATAAGACCCATGATTCAATGAGAAGCCCCTGGTGGAACTTACACTTATATCATGAGAAGCTCAGAATACACATCCGTCCTTCGTTTTTAAGGCTGAAAGGGGCTGTTATGATCATCTGGTCTGACTTCCTGTGTCAGACAGGCCATGGAATTCCAACCCATATTTCTTACATCTAGCCCTTAGCTCGTCAATGTCAGCCATGAAAGTGATTTGATTTACTTTATTAGCCTGCACAGACCCCATCATTGCAGCATCTGGGCCCATCACACATGAAAAGCATCACTTTATAACAGACCAAAATGGGAAGTAATTTTCACCCCCAC